CTGTAACTTCGAAATAACTCGTGACCTACAAAATTTTTGATTTCTTGCCACGAAATAAACTGTAACCAATTAATTTGATGATATGTGACCAGTAAATAAATTTGTGACCTATAATTATGAATATGTGACCATTAATCGTATAGCTGTGACTTTGTTATATTTATTTAATAAATATTTCTAATGAATTAAATATATGCCTAAGTTTTTAAATTTCAAACTATTTACCTGATTTTTGAATTTGTGTAAATAATACACCTGGATTATGAATTTTTCCCTTTTAAAAAAGTGAAAATTAAATAATACCAGATCTTTGAAAACTTCAATTAAAAAATAAGGTATAAAGTTTTATTATTCACAAATCGGGTATTATTGGTAATTAATCCACCGATTCAATTAAAAACCCTAATCATTTTTACCCATTTTCAATCTCGTCTCTTCCTTCTCCCTTTTCAATGCTGGCTTCTCTATTCTCAATGCCGATGACCCATTCAAACACTGTAACGGTGACGAAGGAAATGCATGGGTGCCAGCGCTAGCGTGGGGAGACGACGCTGCTGTGAATGCAACGTCGCGACATTGCAGTTCTCTTTCTCTTTTATGATCTATAGATTTGGTTTGGGCACGTCTCTACCTTCTCTCTTTTCGACGCAGCGACCTATTCAAATATTGCAACCGACGTAAAGGAGATGCGCTGGTGATGGCAATGGGGCGGGGCGGGAGCCCGTCTCGCTCCAACCCCACCCTGCCCCACGCCCCGTCTCGTCTTAAACAGGGCAGGGCGGGGTGGGCTAGGGTCGGGGCAATTTTTTACCCCGTTTACTGCCCCATTTAATTTTATTTTATTTACACATTTTCAAAATTTCAAGTTATACTATTAAATTATAAAATACAAATTCAAAATTTAAAAATTCAAAACAAATAATGCTCAAATTAACATCAATATTCAAAAAAATGCTAGAACAAACAATATTCAAAAAATATATATATTCACAAGGCAGGGAATTATGCCCCGTCTCGCTCCATCAACCCGTCGAGGTGGGGCGGGGTAAATTGACATCTCTAAGATACGCTGGTACCAGCATGGAAGAGGTGACATTCGTAGCAGCACGAAGCTGCAGTTTTGATCTGTACTTTTTGAGTTTTTTGATCTAGCAACGATTTTGGTTGAAGGTGTTGGTGGGGTGTTAATGGGGACAATGACGGTCGACGATGGTGATGTGGTGACGATGTTGTAGCAACTTCTCTATGCAGCGTAGATATGGGTGGTGTTGTTGACGTTGTGGGGTGACAATGTGATGATGGCTGTACGGGGATCTGGTAGGATGGCAGCGATGGTGATGGTAGCGACGGTGCTCGTGTTGGCTGTGGTGATTTGGGTGCTGTTGGTGAGGTTGGAAAGTGGTGTATCGATAAGTGCATTTTTATGCACTTATATAACTCACAAATATAACCAAAATATGAGCAAAGTGTATGAAATGTGACCTAAATTCGATTGATTCTTGGATTGTAGGGTTTTCGAATGGACTTGATGGAACTCATGAGAAAAAGAAGCAAAAAGGACCAAAACGAATCAAAGTGATAGTTTAGGGACCAAAGTACAAATATCCAAAAGATGAACCAAAGGAGCAATCGAAAAATTGAGAGTACCAAGTACCAATTGGAGGTCAACATGAGCAGATGGAACAAAAGAGTCGAAGAAAAGAGGCCAAGAAACAAGAAGATTGAATTTGGGGACTACAATGGCACAAAACGAAAGGTTTAACACCATGCGGCCGCACAACCCCATCCGAAACTCAAACCAAAGAAATAGATCAAACCATGCGACCGCATGATATAAATTTTTGTCGCGATTCTGCAATATACTTTTTGCGTTATAATTCCTTTGGAACTTGATTGTGACACAATATAAAAATCTAGAACCATCATATTTCGAAGGAGAACACATTGGGAGGCAAGAAACCACATCTTGGAGAGGATTTTAAGCGGGATTAACGAGGATCATCAAGATTTCAAACAATTTCATAACCCGGTGATACTTTTTCTTCAATTTATCATGTATTCAATAATTTTCTCCATGATATGCTAGATTTTTCATGTACTAGGAGATCGATGTACCATATGATGTGATTTCTTTAATTTCTAGTTTTCAATTTGACTATAAACACGTATTGAATGTTTGAATGATTTATATACAATAATTTTCGTCCATAATTAAGTGCACTTAATTATGTAATGTTTGGTGGTTTATTTCATCTGTTCGAGAGAAGATAAATAAATTAGACACGGTATAAATCGTCTCAGGGTTCGGTTGGGGATAGGGATATACCCCTATATTTCGCGTGAATTTTTAGATGTTCATAAAATTACATGCATTCTTATATATGCATTTGTCATAGAGATATAGGTCGGTGATGTATAAGAATAGGTTCTATACATCTCGAGAGAGTGTGTTGTATAGATTTAGGAGCATTGATTCGTCAATAATTTAATCATGTTGTCATTTTGTGAAATTAGGGTTAAGATTGATCATTACATGGGAATTCGTGATCCTAATTTTCATTTAATACAACCAACTCACGTTCTAAACACATAATTTGCATTTTAATTCATTAAAATATCGTTTTGCATACTAAGTTCATTCCAATCTTCAAGTTTGCATAATTAGGGTTTTACTAAGAATAAATTCCTGTTTTGACAAATTTGTTTCGGTTAAGGCTAAAATAGTTTGAATTGAACTATTCAATCTCTGTGGAACGATACTCGGAACTTAACATTCCACTTTATTACTTGTTAACAAACCGTACACTTGCGGTGAATTAAATCGAAAGAAAATATTTCGTGAACATGTATTATTGGGTGGTTTTACCGGTGGTTCTGGTCTTGGTGGTTGTGGTTGTTTCTGGTGGTGGTTACGTTGGCGATGGAAACTATGATGAGCTTGTGGGATTGGGTATTGTTGTTGTGTTTTGTAGTGGTGGTCGTGGTGGTTTCTAGTACGGGTATGTGCTGTAGGTGCAGTGAGCTGCGCGCTGTCATAAATTTTATTTTGTGGTGGTTGTAGATTAGTTTTGGTAATGTGTTTTGCTGGCGATGAGGTTGCGATGGTGATTGTGGTGCCAATTTCGGGTAACAATGATGGTGGTGAGGTTGCGGTGGTATGGTACAAGCGACGGTTAAGAGGTGGTAATTTGTAACCAAGATTAGTGCTGGATTGAGATCGGTGGTAGGGTGTTTGGTGCATGCGACCAACTATTTGGACTAATTATTAATCTGTGACTGTAAAATTCGATAATCCGTGACTAAAAATAATAATCTGTGACCAATACATTTGGAATTATGTGACCCATAGCTAAACCATGACCTGTAATTTGAATGATCTGCAACCTCGAAATAATTTGTGACCTACAAAATTTTTAATTTGTGATCACGAAATAATCTGTGATAAATTAATTTGATGATATGTGACCAGTAAATAAATCTGCGACTTATAATTATGAATCTGTGACCATTAATCGTATAACTGTGACTTTATTATATTTATTTAATAAATATTTTAAATTAATTAAATATATATCTGAATTTTGAAATTTCAAACTATCCACTTGATTTTTGAATTTGTGTAAATAATACACTTGGATTATAAAATTTTCCCGTTAAAAAATTATATGAAAAATATTTTGAAAGTAAGAAATATTTTGTAAAGATATCACTTTTTATTTAAAAAGAAAAAAGTGCAAAAGAGTGTCATAGTGTCACTCTTTAAAGTTAAATGTCGTTTTTTTATTAAAATTTGACATATAATATAACTTTTAATGTCATTTTTATTAAAAAATGACGTTTGTCATTAAAAAAAGTGACAAAAATTTCAAAAGAATGATAGAAAAAAGTGACAACATTAAGCCCTTGTTTGAACTCCATTCTTTTCAAAAAAAATACATTTTAAACAATATTTTGACATCATTTCAACCACATATTCTTCAATAAAATAATATTACACGTAAATTCAAAACTTTTACTTATTTTTTAACTACATATTTTCCATCAATATACTATTCAAAAATTCATTTTCTCTCCAAAATGGGGCTCAAACAGGGCTAAAAAAGTCATAGTTTTTATTTTTTATTTTTTTTAAAAGTGACAAATGCTAAAAAGATTGCGTTTACTTGTATATTTTTCGATAAAAATTCTACATATGGTCAAAGATTACATACATCAAGGGGGACATGGGAGTTGGAAAGTTTAAGCGTTTATACCACTTTGACATAAAGTAATTGACTGATGAAGTGATATAATGTTAGTAGACAAGATGTTATTGATTAAAAAATTGACCGTGTATAAAATAGTTCAATAATGAAGTGTCATGTAACATTATATCAATCATTTTGTCACTATAGCACGATTCAAATTTAAGGAACATTAGACAGAAATGAGATGCAATTAAGATTTCATCACACCCTTTCCTGTATGATATTTTTCTCGAATCTTTTGCTTATGTGTTTGTTCATACCTGTGTTTGAACGGATCAATTTGCATCTCAGTTGAGTCGATTACGTCCCTACTTGGTAGCGTTCAGAGCACGTACTAGAAAAATTTATTGCCACACATTCGGTCTTCACAATCAAAATTGATTGTATGTGTCTATCAAACATGGACATTTAGTGTGATAATAATTTAGATATTTGTTCACATATACGTCTAGTTTACACCTTAAATTTTTAGAAGAGGTGCTTCAATTGGTATGAGAGTCGCCACCTATTTATAAAATTGTTTACATACCATGCCATCAATGAAAAAAATTCGACCTACAGATGAGTTTAAATTGCCCCATTTCAAACCCCTGTTTCAATAATATATTGGAGAAAATTTATGGGTCTTAAACATCATCAAGAATTCTCAATCTCTAATTAAATGGGTGTGCCATGCTAGAGATGCTAAGTTCAGAAGGAATAGCAGCTGCACCTCAACCTAAAAAGGAATAGTAAGAGAAATATCTTAAGTAGTAACTGAATAAAACTTGTACGCTTCTCATTGCAAAACGAAACACACCATATTATTTGGTAATTATACAATACATTCCATTATAATCTAAAACTGTGTATCAAAAGGTTCATTCAGAAATAACATTTAGTTGCAACAGCCATAAGAGGAACTTTTCTATGGACTGAAACGCCTGGGCGTTCACTCATGTCCAAATCCTCTCCTTTTGCTCCATTAGGCAATTCCCAATCAAATTTCTGAATAATATTTGCCAACACAAGTTCGTTAGTTGCCATTGCGAAAGAGATCCCTGGACAACCTCTTCGACCGGCCCCAAAAGGGATCAACTGGAAATCGAGTCCTTTGATATCTATCGATGAATTCAAGAATTTCTCTGGCTGAAACTTTTCTGGTTCGTCCCAATAAATAGGGTCTCGGCCAATGGCCCATGCATTTGTCATGACCATCGTCCCTGCTGCAATGTCATAGCCCATTACGTTGACGTCCTTTCTTGCTTCTCGAGCAACTAATAATGGGATTGGCGTGTGGTATCGTAGAGTTTCCTTCACAACGGCTTTCAAATAATGCATTTTTTCTAAGTCAGCATCTGTTACGTCCTGTTTGCCATTGAGAATTCCCCTCACCTCATTTTGCAACTTTTTCATAACTATTGGGTGCCTTAAGAGCTCTGTCATTCCCCATTCTAGAACTGTGGATGTGGTATCTGTTCCAGCAGAAAACACATCCTGAAACAATCAAGAAAATTAAAAAAAAAAAATAATAATAATAATAATAAATAAAATGTAAAGTTCAGAAATTTAATAGTCACAAGCTTTTAGATGAATTTTTTTCAAAGTAGACAAAAAAAATCTTACTACCAACTATTTATTCATGGAAATTATGCATCTTTATCGTTTTGAAAACGACAAGTAATCTGACTTGGGCATGAGGGAACGTTGAAGGTAAAGTTTAAGTAAATATGTGTACCATCTCTAGTAGATCGATATGGTAATTAGAGGATTCAGAGATCGCAGAAATTTTGAGCTAAAGTCTAGTTGAAACTCAGTAGTGTTTTGATAAAATAAATATGGTTAGCGTGTAAAGGGTGCGTCGAAAATAAAATTTAAATGAATAAATGTCACCTACCAAAATGATTGATTTGATACTATCTCTATCAATGGAAACACCAGTATTATTGTCCTTGTAAATCCTAAGCAGAATATCAACAAAATTCTCTTTGCTTTCATCCTTTCCACTTGGATTTTCCACACCATTTTTCAGGTGTTCTTCAATTACTCCTTCGAGAAATTCGTCAAGTTCTTTAGCAACATAATCCACTCTAGCATCAAAACCATTAACACGATTAATCCACGCCAGCCAAGGAATGAATTCGCCAACATTAATACTCCCCAAAAGTCCCAAAAATTCGCTAATCAGCTCCAGAAATTTCTCCCCAATTGCCCCATCCCTGTACTTCCTTCCGAAAGCTGATCTACAAACAATATCATTCGTAATCGCCATAAACAAGTCACTCAAATTCAATGGAGATGAAGAAATACATGATTCCTTAATTTTTTCCATCATCAAGGCTGTTTCCTCTTCCCTTATAGCACAAAATGATTGTACCTGGAAAAATACACAATCAGAAAATTTATTAATGGAGTTACTCTACAAGTTAGTTAGCAGCTCAACTTATTTACGAAGAGCACTTAGCTTAAAAGACAGGCAGCAGCCATAAATTGGCTCTGTCTTTCGACATATCAAGAGTGATAGTGTCAAAATAAGTTAGCTTCTTCGACAAAAGAAGCTTGGCCAAACATGCTCTTAATACACACTAATTACCTCCCTCTTATTATTTATTTATGAACTGTTGTTATCAAATTTCTGTTAGTACCCTTTTGTTACTCAAAAGCTGGAGGACAAAAATGCTTTTCAATTGTCTCCAGTACTCTCCATACGGTGCGACGGCTAAATCCTTCATGTCGTAGAGAAGTCGCTTCATAACGCTGGATTCCGGCCGGTTTGCGAAGATTACATCATGGGTTTTCATAATTTCCCGCGCGGCGTCTGGCGATGAAACAACGAGTGTTGGAACTTTTCCGAAGTGTAGAAGCATTAAGGGTCCATGTTTTTTGGCCAGGGATTGAAGAGAACGGTGAGGGAGTGTACCGATTTGGTGAAGGTTTCCGAGTATTGGGATTTTTGCTGGCGACGGAGGGAGTGTTTTCTTGGCCGTAGGCGTTGGTTGCCGCCGTTTCATGAGGAAACATATGAGAATTGTAGATATGAGAGTACATAGAAATGGATTTTGTAATATGGATTGAGTTATTTGTTGCTTGAAACTCAACATGCTCCCTCCTTCTCTTTTACGATTGTATACTTGTGTTTGTGTTTTACTGTTGAGTACAAGATCTGTATGGTACGAGGCTCTTCTATATAGAGACATGCAGAAATGCAGACAAAAATGCACCAATTTTTTAGGGTAAATTTCACTTTGGTCCTCAAACCTATGATTTTTAACATTCAAAGTCCCAATCTTTTCAAAAATTGTTCCTGAAGGGGAGGGGAGCTGGAGATGTGCATATGTTTTTCCTTCCTTCTTTTTCAATTTTTTTTTTGCCCTTTGTTCTTCTTCTTCTATTTTCTTTAGAAGCCCTTGTTTGAGCCCTATTTTGGGGAAAAATGAATTTTGGAATAATTTATTGATGGAAAATGCGTGACGTTTTGAATTTGTGTGTAATATTATGTTATTGAAAAAATGCGGTTGAAATTATGTCAAAATATTGTTTAAAAATATTTTTTTGTGGAAAGAATGGGGCTCAAACAAGGGCTAAATTTGTTTTAAATCAAACTAAGGTTTACGAAGGTGATTTTGCTCAAAATTTGAATTTTCAACAATCAAACTCATTATTTCTGTCGCAAAAGGACTTTAGTCGCAAGAGTTTGAAAGATTTGAGATTTCGAGCGTTAAAAATCAAAGATTTTGTGATGCAGTTTATCCATTTAATACACTATTTTCAAAGCAAAAATAAACATTTGACTGAATCACAAAACTCCACATCCGATCGATTGATTTTATGCAAATATGATAATTGCGTGTTGTGGAGAGAGAGAGGGAGAGAGAGGTTGACGTTACCATCAAGATATGTGACGCGAAACAGCTCGATTCGCGTCTCTGTTGACTCAATTTACGTCATTGTTTGGCCAGCTATTTTTTAGTTTTGTTCATAGCAATTTTTCTCCTCCAAACAAAAATAAAAAGACAAGAAAGGATGACATATGAACTGATAAATTATTAAATTCATTGCCATGCGTTTCGTGTATTTCGTGCATTGCAATTAAAATTGAATTTAAATGTTGAAAATCTTTCCTTGTGAATCTTTCAAACATTGACAGGTACTTTTTTTTCCTGCAAAATAATGGTGTATTTAAATTTTAATTTTGTGTTCTATAAATATAAAATAAATATCTAGTAAGCTCTTTTTTCTTTTTTTTTTTGATATCCAGGTATCCCAATTTATACCAGACAAAATTCTGGACCTCCAAGACCCATGCCCTTAGAATCTTGGAGGGGATAAATCGCGAATTATGCCTCAATTGGATATATCTAGTAAGCTCTTGTTTGAATCTCATATTTTAATAATACATTTTTCTTAAAACTCATTTTCAACCACATATACTCTTGATAAAGTAACATTATATGCAAATTTAAATTTTTTCCCATTTTTAATTACACATTCTTTAAAAATTCACTATTTCAAAATTTATTTTTACTAAATAATGGAGCTCAAACACGGCTTGAATAAGAATAATGACTAATGAAATTTAAAGATTAATATGGAAAACAGAGGTTGGCCATTTTGAGGAGATTTGACATGATATGCTGTAAAAATGTAACATGTTTAACCATTTCTATCACTCAACCAAAGTCTCTTTAGGTACGAATGTTATTTTCTACATATTTGATTTGTAATGAATTGATTAATAGAAAAACGATTGTACTATATGCATAAAAATAAATAAATAAATAAAATTTACCGACTAAATGACATGACGAGATTTGACGAATCAAAAACTTTCCGATCAAAATTTATATTTGCCATTAACCCACATTACATAAGCACGATGTTTAAGTAGTAAAGGGATTTTGACAATTTTAATTTAATTTATTGCCACATCATCAATCGATAAAAGATGATTTACAACTGCATTTTCTATAGAAAAAACATTACACATGTCATTCCTTTTTAAATTTGTAAGATCCAACATATTAATTTTACAAGCAATAATCAGTGTACACCTACGTTAAAAAAAAAAAAAAAAAAAAAAAAAAAAAAAGAAGGAAGATTCAGTGTACACCTAGATCACTCAAAAATTGAAGACCTCTTAGACTGAGTTCATAGGAATGATCTAACCGAGTTCTAATTCTCACAAGCACTTCTCTAATTTTCATGTCGAACTTCAATCTCTGATTAACAATCAACGAGTCCAAAAAAATTTCAAATCTCATGTATCACAACATGGTTAAATTAAGGGACATGACATGCTACACACTTCAGAGTCCAACAATTGCGTTAACTATAGAAGCACGTGTCTCCTTATCATACCTCCTCTCGTTTTCTACACTAAGCAAAGATACTACATAAAATACATGAAAATTTTTGAGAACTCAACCAAATTATATCAACTTGTGTTCTTAAACAATAACTCTTTTCATCATAATCATTTTATACATTCGACCCTCACCCCATCTCCTCTTTTTTGGTGACCCATAATGTAACATTCTACTCTATCATAAGCTAAACACATTTCAAAACTTATTAGTGCAAAGATCTAACTTATTAGCGCAAAAGTCTCGCGAGTATTTTCTACATCAATATCACAAGTCCTAACATAATAACTACAAAGAGATTGAATGGAAAGAGTTTTTATTTTGATTTCATAAAAGAAAAAAATGAGTGAGTGGTTGGACAATAACACGAAATTGAAGAATGGGTGGGAAAGCACCCACATCCATACATGACAAATAACAATGAAAAAAATATGACAAATAATTATTTTTTCTTGTTTTTGGGGTATACGGAGGATAATGTTATAAACATAAGAGTAATTAGATTCACAACATAATTCTTACTTCTTGAGATACATTTTAATTACACATAAAGTTTTTAATCTTTGTCTATTATAGCACTTTTGCTTCTAACTATTTTTCATGTCATTCTCATATTCAAATTTTTCATTAGTTAACATATTTTGTATTTCATAACAGTTTTACGTTCAAAAGCCCTTTGAAATTATGTAAAACAACTTATCTTTCCATCATATTTTTAGAAAATAAATAAATAAAGAGTGTGAAGAATATATTTCTCTCGTTTCCAAGCATGAAAACAAAATATTTTGGTATAAATCTTTATCAATGACTGAACGTACTAATTAATGGAATGTTGAAGATAAGAATTCGACCAAAAAAAAAAAATTGTTATAATGAATAAAGATCGATAAATTTAACGGCGACGAAAATGTGGTGAAACATGTAAAAATGATGGTGTCAGTATAACTTCCCTAAATTTAATTATAAACCATCATAAAATATAAAATCTTATAGTAGGTACGATTCTTAACATTAAAAAATTATTTTTTACTGTCGTGAGCTGAATAATACTATTAATATAAAGAATGAAACACTAATAGACAAATACTTTAGTTATATATGATAGCATAAAAATTTCTTTAATCGTTCAATCAAATTATTGGACGTAGTTGACAATCGGTCAACGCAAAGTTAGCCGCCCATGTTGCACCTAATAAATTATACACATTGGATGTGTTAGTTACCGGGATTGGCAAATTCAGAGTCAATTATGCTAGTCGTACGTTTGTAATGTGTCAAAATTCATGTCATTGATTGTTTAAATTAATGTATAAAAAGTTATCATCTCACAACAATGTCAAATTTGATGTAAATGTAGCGAAATTGATACACAATTGTATTCCCATGCCAATAATTTCAATAGTAACAAGAAATCTAAGGTCTTCCTGTCAAACTACCGCAATAATGTTTTTTATGAGTTCTCGTACAAATTTGCAAATAGTTTGGTTAGATTAAGTGTAGAGAGATAGTTAAAATTTGAAACTCAGAATGGTTGGAGTGATTCAATCTGTAAGCACTACCATCATAATCCAATATTGTCGCATGATGTGTTGATCGAGGAAAATACTTGGATCATTAATTGTATGTAATAACTAACATTCTCCGATTGCAGAGTCCTTGGGAGTTTAAATCATTGGCTCATGATCGGTGCTGGTGGTGGACTTTATTGTGATGGTAGCTGATTGTGGTGGCCGACAACTATGGGTTGGGTAGGTGCGTGGGATAGGTGGGTCTGGGTCGGGTTATGTAGGAAAAGCAATTCTTGAAGTTTAAGATAAAGAGTCAGTTGAAATTAGAATTTGGTCAAAAGTATTTTTGTGAATTAATTATAAAATACAACATGCAATGAAAATTTCACATTATGAAACAAGAAAGCCCCAAGTCGCCTTGCTCGGGCCACATGTCTAACGAGCAAACCCCACCATAACCTACCGAAGAAAATGTGACGATGTCTTTATTTAATTAATCATTGTTAAATTTTAAGATGTTGAGTTTCTTAATTTCGTGAATTTTAAAAATCAAGCTTTCAAGTGACACACGAGTTTGATGAACATAATTTGAGTGTATAAAGTATTCGAGATTCTACAAATCCTAGTGTTGGAAAATGAAAAATTTATGTTTGGGTGGGTTTCTCATGTTCCCATTCACTAGTGAACTGTGTTTGGCAGACAACCGCTTATTATTTTTGAATTCTTGAAATTTTCATATAGTTTTTCATTATCTTTAAATTTGCACTTAAATGAAATTAAGTGGGAGAAAAATTTTGAGAACTACTTTGCACAGTTTCTTAGACTGGGGATGATATTGTACCAACCTCCTAAGTTTCGGGACTAGTGCTGCAATTTTCTAGATAAAACAAATGTGCTGAGTGGTTAGACAACGACAACTAGAAAGTTACAATAATTTAATGAGCATAATGGTGGCAAGGATGCGTTGGATGGGGCTCCACACCTATGTTATATGTGACAATGGAAATTTAAAAATACGCCGATTACTTTTTCTTCCCCGTCTTCACGGACATAACGAGGATAAAGAGAGATACAATTTTATATCATCAATAATTGTATTGCTGAGTACGATGAATTGAATGTGTTAGGCCTAATCTAAGATGGAGTTCACGTGATCTAATATTTAGAATTTCCCTTTATCTTTGATTTTGTGTAAGTATGCACATCCTGCAAAGGTAGGATAAAACATTTGTTTTCATATACTTCACGATTGAGTGTAGAGCCAAATCTATTATTTAAAGCTCAAGTAAGTTGACTCGAGTATGCTAATGGCTCGAGTAGAATAGACGATGGTTGAAGTGACTT